AAAATATATCAAAATGCATGTGGGTACTTAAATGAAAGCTCTTGATGAGTGTAACATCCGGATGAGGTTATATCTTTAAAAGTGTCAATAGTTCACAAGATACAAGGTCATTTCTTAATTATATATCTAGAGATAGAGCATTTTCAAATGCAGCCGAAATACGTATCATAATAAATTGACTATTGGTGAAAATGATATGAAACCCTGAAAAGGTACAAATTCAAGTCAAGACTTTTCCAATGACATCAACTTTAACCATAAAAACCCATTTTATCATATAAATACACTGGCCACAAAATTCTGCTTATTCTCTTAATAATATAGATTATATTAATTATATAAAAATAATATTTCTATACTGCATTGAAAAATTGCATTGTAATTTAAATGAGCATAAATAAATTCTTTTATAACTGATAATTTATGTAATCGATGAAATTAATACATATTACATATGTAAATGTATCCGTTTTGCTATCTCAGTTACATTATGATATCTAATCAGATAAAAGTATTTAATGACTAATACTTAATTATATTTCATTTTATATTTAAATTATTAGATTATTTAAAATTATACATTTAGTAAATTTTTAACGACATGTGCATTGATATTTATTTATTTATATAGCAGCTGCAGTAAAATTAAATCAGTGTAGCGATATTCGTACTCTAAAATGGATCGCTGGGTCGGAAAAATTGCTATTGTCAGTGGAGTCAGTTCTGGAATCGGCGAACTGCTCGCCAGAGAATTAGTTTCTGCTGGTGTTAACGTTCTGGGACTCGCTCGACGTGAAAATAAACTTCAAGAATTATCGAAGAGCTTAAAGAATACAAAAGGCGCCTTTCATTACTTAAAATGTGACGTGCGCAATGAGCGAGATATAGTCGATGCTTTTGCGTATGTAGAAAAAAATTTTGGCCAGCTCGATATTTTGATTAACAATGCCGCTGTTTTGATTGATAATTCTTTTGAAAGTGAGTATATTCATTAAATTTTTTTTTTCTTAATTAATATAAAAAAATAAAATTTTTTAGATGGAAAAACGGAAGATTATCGTTCACTTTTAGAAACAAATGTCCTCGCGCCTGCTCTTTTTATCCGCGAAGCCTTAAAATTAATTCGCAAGCACAAAAATGATGCTTATATTGTCAATATCAACAGGTAAATTTATCTCGAATAAAAATAATAATAATAAAAACAATCGTTAGTTATTTACCAAAAATATTTGTTCTAGTATTTGTGGTCTGAATGCAACGGTAGTAGATTTGCCGATGGGTTTGTACCCAGCAAGTAAATTTGCTATGACTGCAATGAATGAGACATTGAAAAAAGAAATCAAAGATAACAATGACAAAATTCGTGTAACTGTAAGTCTTTTTATTTATTTTTTTTTGTATTTTATTATTGTTACTAATTAATTAAATTTTTTTTTTCTATTTTAAGGCAATTCATCCTGGAGTAACAGGTACAGAACTCTTTTTTTCATCTGAGCTTCACCGTAATATATATAATAACACACCTTATTTAAAGCCTAAGAACGTGGTTGATTGTATAATGTTCGCTTTATCAGCTCCATCTCATGTCCAAGTATGAATTTCAATTTGGATAAATACTAAATCATTAATTATTTTTTTTCAGTACATATTTTTTTCATTTTTCAGATTGACGAGCTAATTGTCACTGCAGTTGCAACCAAAAAGTGAAATCAATGAAATTTCATCAATAATAAAAAATAAATTTCTATTAAAAATGTTAATATAAAATTTTTGACCTACTTACACGGAAAAAAAAAGTTTTTTTTTGGCTTAAGTAAATTTTACTTGATTCAAGAATTTTTCTTCGTGATTCAAGACAGTGAAACTCTTCAAAATTATTTTCTTGGTTCAAAAATTTTCATTTGATTCAAGTTAAATTTTTTTTTCAGTGCAACAAAAATTTACACTAATTTATATTTCAACACAATCTCAAAAATAGAAAATTGCATTTAGGCTGTACAGATAATTAAAACAGATTGGCAAAAAAAAACAAACTATAATTATTTATCAATAAAAAAAATGAATTATCATCCCAAATCACCTTATGTATTATTTTACAAATTCTAAATCTTATTTTAAATTTTATACTTTTCATGAATTTATCATAATCATATTTCAAATTTTTATATACGTGTGCTTTATTAACTTACTATTATGTGTATTTTGGCCATTTGGCTATACTACCTTGACATTGAAATTAAAAAATAAAAAGTTTGGAAAATTCAAAAGTGCACGACTCATAATGCTCATTTAATTATGAAGTATCCGAAGACACGATAGTGTCTCGCGCCAAGTACACGTCCAACATATGGCGTGAGACAACGTGTCTTTATTCTCTAATCATATGTCAACATAACCTCTTTACATATTTAGCTCTATATTTTTTATTATTACTAAGACACTAACACTTTACACCATTGTTAATAAGTTTCTTTTTACCAATTATACATATATTACAAAAAAATGTTGGGTCTTAACAATTATTTAACTAATCGCGAGTTTGAAAATTTTTACTTGCGCCTGTTTTCGATTCTACGAGAGATTTTACAAATTTAGGGCGAATTTTATTATTTCAAAGTTGGCACTACTTAACTCTGTTATTCTACCATCTAAATAGCTAGTATACTAAATACTAAGTGCATTATATTTGAATGATGGTGTGCATTATAATCGAATGATGCACACTAAGGACATTTAATTTTTTTCCTTAATATTTACTGTCTTTAGCGTTTTTTTAATCTACAAAATTTTTTGTACTTGGATTTTTTTTCGATTTAATAATTTTTGTAAAAATTGAATTATTAAGGTTTGTAACAATAGTTGGACGTGTACTTGGCGCGACGGTTTACAGTGAAACTGTTTTTTGTGGGATTAATAAAATAAAGAATGTGAAAAAAAATATATAAAACAGCTAAAATAGCACGATAATGCGCAAGCGTCTCTAGTGGAATAGATGTACACAATATACATAGACATACAGTCTTCCGGTGTTTGTTTTATTTTATTAATTGTACATAAACGACACTGAAATACCTAGCTATTCGCATTCGGTGACCTACAATTCTTTCAAAGAATTAAAAAAAAATTTAACTCAATTAATGCATTTTTTCGCAAGATACAGTGTTACAGCAATAAATAGAAATAGAGTTTTTTAGAAGAAAATATTTTTATACTGATCAACAATTTCGCAATCAAACCACATAGCGATTGATGGAACCCTTGAAGCAATTATACCTATTGTGCTTGCACATACCTTGTATATAGAGATGCATGGTCATTTCATCGCCGCCGTAAGCATTGGAAGCTGTGCAGAAATATCTCCCGCTATCCTCCCTGGATGTACTAATGAGCTCGAGGATACTAACAGCACCATCTGTGGTGTTCATTTCCTTGACCATATACCTATAATCGGATACCGCCGGTTCCAGTTGTGAGCCAGCCCGCCTCCACACAATGTTCAGGGGATGATCACCCTTGGCTTCACATCGCAGAGAAGCTCTTGAGCCCAGTCGAGCTGTTTGATTGCGGTGCTTCTCCACAATACGGGCGGGCGCTGCACAGATAATTATCCAGTCGTTAATCAAATTACGGTTTCGTCTTACCTACCTTTAGTTTACAGTTTTCAACTAAATTGGATTACACAATTAATTAATTAATTAATTGATGAGCTCACCATTAACGGTTAAATAAACGACTTTGCTGAGGCCAGCACCAATTCCATTAACAGCTTCGCAGAGATAATAGCCCTCGTGATCCTCTTGAACTCGGCCAAAGACCAGTGATCCGTTCGAATGAATTCTCAACTCTTGTGCATGTTCGTGACTAGCAATGTCATGATAACTGCCAGGTCTGGTTCCTGTACCGCGACGCCATGTGACAGAAGGCGGAGGAAACCCATCGGCATGACAATGAAGCATCAGTTTGGACATGCCCTCTGGTGCGTGAACATCCTGCGGCTCCATTACCCACCGAGGAGGCACTGGGGTTCGCATTAATGTCCATAACAAACTTTTGTTGTAGTATTGTGTAGTTTATATATACAAATTAATTTATGCATGGTATTATGAAAGACTATAAAGCACGAGCAACTCAAAGTACATCTGCGGTTTTAACTTACTGCATCTGTTTACTATGCGTTATATGAATTTTATATATAATATACATGAAATTGTAATCTTATCTTTGGTTGATGTATATTATTATTATTATTTTTAGATTTATTAGTCTGTGTTGTATATTATGAGAAACTATGCCAAAGGAATTTAACGTTTCAGTTTCTCAAAGTATTTTAAATATTTTCGGTAACCAGTTTCAATCGCAGAAGTTCTTAAAGGCTCGCGCTATTTGGGTGCTTTTACAAGGCAAGGCTTTATTTTTACTGACAGTCCTTTGAGTTACGGATTTTTTTGTTAACTTTTTGGTTTTTTGAAGAATTATTTATGTATTTTATCATGGAAGAATACTAAAAAAATTTTTAATAATATCATCCGAGAAGAAATACAATTTTTCGAATTAATTCATTTAAATTTTGCTTTATTAGATAATGACTTTTGTTAAATTGCACTATACTTTATTAACTATTGACGTTCTTAAAGATATAAGCTCATTTCGATGTTACACTCATCAAGAGCTTTCATTTGAGTATCCACATGGCATTTTTTTTATATATTTTATATACATAGTATTTGTGAAATATATAAATATATGAAATATATGAAAAATTGATATGGGTACTCAAATGAAAGGTCTCGGTGAATCTAATGTCAGGGTGAGCTTATATCTTTAAAAATGTCAATAGTTGACAAGATACAGTGTATTTTCTTAATTATTGACATTTTTAAAGATATAAGCTCATTTCGATGTTACACTTATAAAGAGCTTTCATTTGAGTAGCCGCATGCATTTTGATAGATTTTTCATATATACATACATATAATAAATGAAAGGTCTTGATGAGTAACATCAGGATGAGCTTATATCATTAAGAATGTCAATAGTTCACAAGATACATGGTCATTTCTTAACTATGTATCTAGAGATAGAGCATTTTCGAATGCAGCTTAAATACTTATCATCATATGACTATCCTGGACACAAAATTTTTCTTATTTTCTTAATAATACAGATTAAAATTATACTATTTATTTTAAAAAAAATTTGTTTTTCATTATCTGGAATTTAAACATTTAGAAAAATTCTTGACGATAATTAAAGAAATATTTTTGATTTTTAATAATTAGATAAAATTTTTATAAAATTTCAATTGTAAAAAATTGTTTTAAGTTATTGAAAATTTTATTAATAATTAATAAATGAAATTATTTCGTTTTTTTGCTAAATGTGCATCTAGTTATACTTTTTATTATAATATGAATTTTAAACTCTCAGGGCTGACAGCATTATTTTTATACTACTGAAAATATATAATAACGTGGGCATCGATTTCTAAGGTGCATTTTAGCAGAATAAAAAAAAAATAAAAGGTGAATGCGATGAATAAATATTGAAAAAACTTACCCAAGGGTGCGGAAATATTATCAAGGAAATAAAAAAAGTGCGAGGTGAATTCAAACGAAAATAAAAATTATTTACAAAATAAAGTAATAAGTGAGACTTGAAATATACATGTGTAAGAGTGCATTATAAATTGTAAATTATAATAAATGTGTATGTGCAGTAATATATATGTGCGTGTAATTATTTTAATATATATATACATATAAGTGCTTAAGTAATTGTGCGCAATAGTATACAAGTGCATAATTGCGTTTTGCTTGACAACGATCGAGTGTGCCGCTCATGTGCTCTGCAAAATTATTTTCCACTGTGCTTAATTACAACAACGATAATAATAGTAATAATAATTGAAATAATAATAATAATAAATTGCGATGTGCGTTGGCATTTAAATTGACCGCTGAGTGCTGTAGCGCTACAACTTTTGCTTTTATTTAGATTATTCATTTTTTTTTATAATTACAACAATACTATTCAATTATATGGTCCAATCAATTTAATGACTGGGGACTTTATTAATTATTGTATTTCAATTAATTTTATTGCAAAATTGATAAATTTTTAGATGTGAAATCGTTCTGTGATGATAAAAATTGAAAAATGATTTTTTTTTTCATTTTATCCAATAAAATTAATATTAAAAATACGATTTGGAAAATTAAGGAAAATCAATTTTTTAATTTTGAAGTTAAAAAAATTTATACTTAATTTTTTATTATTAAAATTTTTGGTAATTATTTACAAGTGGGGTCTACCATTTTAATTTTCATTTTTTTGAACAAAATTTTTGTTTTTTAATTTTGATATATTTTTTTTATGCATAAAAAATAAACAATTTAAAAAAAAAGTTGATTATCACAATTTTAAAAAATTTTAGTTATACTTTTTATTATAATATGAATTTTAAACTCTCAGGGCTGACAGCATTATTTTTATACTACTGAAAATATATAATAACGTGGGCATCGATTTCTAAGGTGCATTTTAGCAGAATAAAAAAAAAATAAAAGGTGAATGCGATGAATAAATATTGAAAAAACTTACCCAAGGGTGCGGAAATATTATCAAGGAAATAAAAAAAGTGCGAGGTGAATTCAAACGAAAATAAAAATTATTTACAAAATAAAGTAATAAGTGAGACTTGAAATATACATGTGTAAGAGTGCATTATAAATTGTAAATTATAATAAATGTGTATGTGCAGTAATATATATGTGCGTGTAATTATTTTAATATATATATACATATAAGTGCTTAAGTAATTGTGCGCAATAGTATACAAGTGCATAATTGCGTTTTGCTTGACAACGATCGAGTGTGCCGCTCATGTGCTCTGCAAAATTATTTTCCACTGTGCTTAATTACAACAACGATAATAATAGTAATAATAATTGAAATAATAATAATAATAAATTGCGATGTGCGTTGGCATTTAAATTGACCGCTGAGTGCTGTAGCGCTACAACTTTTGCTTTTATTTAGATTATTCATTTTTTTTTATAATTACAACAATACTATTCAATTATATGGTCCAATCAATTTAATGACTGGGGACTTTATTAATTATTGTATTTCAATTAATTTTATTGCAAAATTGATAAATTTTTAGATGTGAAATCGTTCTGTGATGATAAAAATTGAAAAATGATTTTTTTTTTCATTTTATCCAATAAAATTAATATTAAAAATACGATTTGGAAAATTAAGGAAAATCAATTTTTTAATTTTGAAGTTAAAAAAATTTATACTTAATTTTTTATTATTAAAATTTTTGGTAATTATTTACAAGTGGGGTCTACCATTTTAATTTTCATTTTTTTGAACAAAATTTTTGTTTTTTAATTTTGATATATTTTTTTTATGCATAAAAAATAAACAATTTAAAAAAAAAGTTGATTATCACAATTTTAAAAAATTTTCAAAAAAATTTATAAATTAAAAAAAAAATTGTGATATTCAACTTTTTTTTTTTAATTGTTTGTTTTTTTATGTACTTTGCAAAAACGTAAAAAAAAAAGATAAAATAGAAATTTTATCCAAAAATATGAGAGCCAAAATTTTTTCCAACTTTTGATGGCAAAAAAGCTATCGAAATACTTATTTTTTTTAATTTTCGATATCACCGCCACACATAAAAAAATTAACGACTCAAAAGCCAAAATCTTGAACCAAGGATACCATTTTGAAGAAAATGACTTTTTTGTGTCAAGAGAATAAATTTTTGAGTGAAGAAATTATTCTTGATTCAAGTAAATATTTCTCAAGAAAATCATTTTCTTCAAAATAGTATCCTTGGTTCAAAATTTTGGCTTTTGAGTCAATTTAATTTTTTAATCAGTGCATAAATTCCCCGTAAAAACAAGCAGAAAAAAATAGTTTTAAAAATGTTAATTTTTTACTTAAATATGGCCAAAAATACGTTTGACCCTACTTGTAAATAATTAAAAAATTATAATTTTGTAAATAAAAAAATTACAATTTTGTAAATAATAAAAAAATTGATTTAAGGTCGTCTAAATTCATGTTTTCGATTCGGAACACTATTTTATTTTTTGGATGGAAAAACTTAATGATTAAAAAAAAATATCATGTTTTAAACATTTTTTGGTTTCGCGATAATTAAAAAAATTTTTTTGACATAATTGAAACAATTATTTAATAACACAACTTCTCAATTTTCATATTCAAAAAAATTGAGCCCCTAATCCAAGCAATTACCGTAAAATAAAATAATTCGTAATTGCAGTTACTGAAAAAGTCTCCAGTCATTACATAAAAAAGTGCGAGCGTGATATTTCGTTATAACGGTGCATTAATCACAAAAATATTGAGTTAGTCTATTTATAAAAATAAATCTCATAAAAGTTGAGTCACTCGGTAAAATTTACTTTACCACGAACAACTAATTGGGCAGTAGATGCGACTTCGGCAACGGAGTTACGTGCAATGCAGGTATAATTGCCAGCATGAGCGGCAGTAACACGGTCGATTGAGATGGTACTGGAGTGAACATCCATGCTGGTAACACGTAACCCAGCAACGTTGCTCGGTAAGTTGTTTTTGTGTGTAACTGTGCTACTGGCGGACCCAAAATTCGAGGGGGATGAGGTTGCAATAGGTTCCCCGTCTTTCGACCATATTATCGTGAACGGCGGGTCGCCTTTCTCAATAACACACGCCACTTGCGCCCGTACACCCTCCGATAGGTCCTTGTTAAAGCTAAAAGGAGCTATGCTAGGAGGAACTGCAATTATAACAATTTATTCTTAGTCTCCTAATCAGACCTCTAATTTTTGCGATCAATTATTTTTATAAATTATGTATTATTATTATTATTATTATTATTATTATTATTATTATTATTATTATTATTATTATTATTATATTAATTCAACCTCCTCCGTTGTACCAATCTGGCTCCGACCATTTTCTTCGCTGTGTTGACTCTTGATGTTTATTTCC